AAAGAGATCTCGGCAATATCCAATCTGGTTATAAATCCTTGTATAATAACAATTGGGGGCGTCCCCAAGAACAATACTCGAAGGGCTATGGATTTCAGTGTTCCAGCGTGCAACACCAACATAATCAGTGATAACAACGACAAATCTGTATCGTCTGACCGCGAACACAGATCTGTAACCAATGGTGATGTGGACAGATCTGCATCCAATGGCAACGTGGCTACATCAGTATCAGTTATCAACGAAATTGGAGTTTTAGCCAATAGTGACGTCGATAGATCATTACACAATGGTGAGGTCGATGGGTCTTTATTTAAATTAAATGGATGTGAACAAAATACAAAAACTGAGAACGCTGTGAAAGAAGTTGTTTTATCTGAGAGCCCTGAGTGTACACCACTTATTGCCAATCAGCAGCCGGATACTAGTGAGGTTGACTGTTATACAAACAATAAACTTAAATTAAACAGTCAGATATCATCGTTAAGTGATATAGAACTATGAAATGATAAACGCTAACAATGGCTATTAAACATAATACAATAAAAAAAAGAATTCTTAAATTAAGAAATGTGATATTTTAGTAAACCTAAAGATTTTTTAAAAGATATTTAAATCGGGTTAAAATTCAGAATTCTGATCAGAATAATGCTGTCTTTGGTCTCTAATAATAGAATTCCGAAATACAGTCGCCATTCAATACGTATTCAATAAATTAAGAACAATAAATCATTCTCGAAGTAAAACAATTACCGGGAGTGTATTTATAGATTATGGTATCGCTTACGCAGAAAAGGGATTATTTATCGCCAACAACACAAGTTCTAGTCGCTGACAATATGTCGGGCAACACAGGTAGCATACAGTACACAGATTTTCCGTCACAAACGTTTCGCTGGCAAATATACACCACGTATGTATTTGAAATTAACTTGAAAAAGCGATCTGTATGTGTTATAAACGTCGTTATTAAATAGCAGAGAAATAGTTATACCCACATATTTGTGTTGTGGTTTGTTGTGATTAGATATGATAGTGTCCAAAATTATTCATTATTTACTTTGACTACGGAACAATATTATCTCACAAACCAGGAAATAAAATGTAATTAATTTATTGATTCTAAATAGAACTTGCACATTCCAAAGATGACATCAGATGAGTACATATATCCAATACACACATATCTGATACAAAAATATTATTTATATTTATTTATATATATCCTCTGGTGTAGCACTATGAAAAGTGGAGCCGCCAAATCGTTTACCACACGCGCCGTGGGACACATTCCCTGCTACACATTCCCTGTGACTCTGGGGTATATTATTGTAATTCTCCCGGACTTCACTTGGACATTAAAGTAGCTAAGTCTCTAACTCGATATCATCCAAAGTCTTACACGTTGAAAACACGAATTATTTGTAAATTCAAATCAACATTGATGTTGTGATCTTACCGGGAAAAGGCAGGCTTCTGATATCCAATATTTAAGACAAAATAAACATTTTACCATTGGTACACGAATCGTGTACCATAATGCGTTTCAGCGTCATTTGTAACAAGTGACCAGAAAGAACCAGGCTAGACATATTCCACACCTCATGTCAAACGGTGACGCCATATCTTATCTGGAGAGCATGCGCAATAGACTGGAATAACCAGACGGTAGAAATTGCTATTCGGTTGAGACCGATTTGAAATTAGAGTCAAAACGGAAACAATTGAATGTAAATCAGTTTATATACAATCAGATTACATTATTATATGCGTTGCGACCCATTTGGGTCAATTTCTAGGTCCCAAATATTAGCGATTTAGCTCCTTTAACGTTGTGTACGTATTTACAGCAGCCAAATAATATGGTTATCAGGAACAACAATGCAATAGTTTCTTGGACATTTTTTATACCGAAGCAGTTTACAAAGGTTTAAACAATGGAATACATAAAAGTCATCCTTTCCAACCCACTCCTGTACAGTCTAACCAGCAAGAATTAAAAATATCTCCGCCACTCTTAAATCTACGATGTTTCCTTTTATTTTATTGTAAAATATGAAATTAGTCAAAATTTAGCCAGTGTATTCAAAAATCTTCATTTCCTTTTCAGCTTTCTAGTTTGTGATGTTTTGAAAACCTTAAATTATACAAACCAAAAGTTTGCTTCTGTGATATTTCTTATTATAGTCTCGTGTGACATTTCTATGGTGGCTGATTGGTATCATGTCGTAATGTCGTGATGTCGCCTTTCATAACGCGACAACCCGACAACCCGACATCACGACATTTCTACCCGACAACACGACAACCCGACAACCCGACATCACGACATTTTTACCCGACATTACGACACTAAAAATGTCGTGATGTCGGGTAAAAATGTCGTGGTGTCGGGTTGTCGGGTTGTCGTGATGTCGGGTTGTCGAGTTGTCGACTTCCATGATCAATGTTATAAGCGGCCACGATGATATTCATAACAAAAAACTGGCAATTAAGAAAATGGTTGATCAAGTGGAAGTAGATTCACACTCACCGTAGGCGTACGAGGCGGGGGGGGGGGGGGGCGGGAGTTGCATTCGTATCCATTTGTATACGTCCACATTCATAATGTGAACCGTCTTCATTAGCTCAGTCGGAGCAGAACAGTAGGACGTTAAAACCCATTTCATTTCATAATGTGAACATATTATGAAGCCGCCCTTGTCTGTGTGTCTGTCATTGAGTCAAGTGGTGTGGTTTCCAGCCCAAGCTTGTACATGACAAAGAGTAGGGTCGTCTGTCTAACCTCGTGGGTTTTCCCCGGGTCCCCCGGTTTCCTCCGACTGCTGAAGACCCCTACGCGCGAGCGAATTATTGAAATAAAATTGAACCATATGTTAGTCCCGAAATGACCTAGTTTGTGTCGAGTGGACGTTAAACCCTCCCTCTCTCTCTCTCTCTCTCTCTCTCTCTCTCTCTCTCATGATCAAACTCAGAATTAGCTAGAATCAAGGTTATTGTGTCCCAAAACATCGACCAATCAAATTGCTTATCTCTGCTTAGCCTTAGGAAAATCATAAATAAACAACAAGATTATGAACATGTTAACGATTGTATACAGAGTCAGTTAAAAGCCTGATTAAATAAATGTGTTTTAAGTTGTTTTTAAACGAATATAGAGATGTACAACATGGTCAAGATTTAACGCGACAACCCGACATCACGACAACCCGACATCACGACAACCCGACATTACGACAACCCGACAACCCGACAACACGACATTTTTACCCGACATTACGACATCACGACAACCCGACATTACGACAACCCGACAACCCGACAACCCGACAACACGACATTTTTACCCGACATCACGACATTTTACCCGACATTACGACATTTTTAGTGTCGTAATGTCGGGTAAAAATGTCGTGATGTCGGGTAAAAATGTCGTGGTGTCGGGTTGTCGGGTTGTCGTAATGTCGGGTAGAAATGTCGTGATGTCAGGTTGTCGGGTTGTCGCGTTATGAAAGGCGACATCACGACATTACGACATGATACCAATCAGCCACCATACATTTCTAATCATAGTTCCTACTAAATGCATCCTTCAAAATAATCAGCAGTAATTATTTGCTTGGCCGCTTCTTTCACTGAGAGGGATGACATCGGGACGAGTTAGTTAGCTCTCAGTAATAACTTGTTTTCTCCTGCAAATTAAGTAGCCTTGCCCAGTCATCAGCAAAAATTATCTTCGGGGCAAACAGGTTGGGGGATGATGACGGTGGTGGTTCGTGGATAGTACGAGTAGATGATGCTTCTGGTCTGAATGCATCTCCACACAACCAAGTCGGGGCACTATTGCTACCGTGGCTGGCAAGAAATGGTCGGCGAGATCAACCAGCTGTCACTGGTCATATTGGCTTCGATGTCAGCTCCGTTAACGATTATTTTAGAGTTTTCCTCAGGAATGACTATCATCTCTCTGTCATCAGATAGAACCACCCCTAACCTATATATAATGTATAATCACAAATGATTACAGAGCTCCCGGAAAAGAATGTGATAAACGACCTGCCTTTTATGCAAAGTATCTGGATCGATGGAAATGAAGGGCAATGGGGTTTAACGTCCTACCTTTCTGTGCCATCTGGACAAATGAATGGGAGGACAGAACGTCGAAATTTTCGTTCCATGCGAGCTCCTAGACGTCGTTCCTTGGCAGGCTCTCGATCTTGCTCCACTGACAAGGGGAAAATACGCCAAACGGATTGATCCCGGGGTCCATGCAAAATTTCAGTGCAGACGGTAGACAAAAGATCACCCACTAAAAATAAATGAAATGAAATGGGGTTTAACGTCCTACTGTTCTGCTACGACTGGGCTAATGAAGACGGCAGTAAAAATAAAGTATTCTATTTTTATAGTTCACATTGACTACAGATATTGATTATTTAAATAAAAAAATAATTTGAACACATTTTGTAGGAAATTGAAATAGATATGGCGTGGTGTGACATAGAACTATCTTATGTGGTTTATCCGTAAGGTTAAGTTCTTCTTTTATGGATACTGATTATTGTTGACTTTTGTATCTTCAATACTTTTGTATATTGAATACGAATATTATGTACATGTTACAGTCAATGTCTACAATCAGGCAATGTGTACAATACACATTGCCTGATTGTAGACATTGACTGTCACATACATATAAACATGATGGTCGTTAGTACACAATCGATGTTAGGTTGCTTCACACAAAAACTCAAATATGATTTGACGGGCAGACACAGTTAGAACGAGAATGTACCCAAGATGTACGTGAATATATGTCTGTGGCACGGTTATTATGTTTGCACGGGGTCTGGTGATGAATTTTGGACGTTGAAAGAAGTAAGGCGGCGGTTCGTTCTTGCATTGATCGACACACGATACGATGCCCGGAACAACAGTCACAAACAAGCAAAGGACACAACGGTTTACTGACAGTACAAGAACATGTATGACATGACTATATATTTATCATGAACGATTAGTAATACATAACATTAATCTTCGGCGGTGGGTTGAACATTTTACCATGACATTTCCCCCCATTATTTTTAACAAGCATAAGTATGTTTTCTTACATAAGGCGGGGAATAAGATTCCGATGGCAGATCTTATATGATGAGGCTTCGCTGTTTATTAATGTTTATTTATTAGTAACCTGTAACCACCGTCATCAATTCCCGAGCCTTGTGGTGGTTGAAATGTTAATAACACTAAAAGTTTTGCGAGAGACAAGACCTGTACCATAGATTCAACAGGGCCATTGTGGTTATCATATACACGGTTACGATGACATACACTACGAACTAATGCCGTATGAATACCGATGTCCTGAAGTCTACCATCTCTACGATCCATCGCTTAACATGTGTGGTTTGTAGAACATACCCACGATGGACACCGCACATTATACTACGTTTGTGGCTTGTTAGTGAACAAAATCATTGGAGAAGGCGGAGGTTAGTTATCAATTAATCCTCATCGTGTGTGAAGTGGGGCATTGGAGCGAATCGAGCCAGTTATAATATATAGACGGCCATTTCAGGTCAGACGACAGTTGCATGACAAAACGCATGGACTATATTAGATTTTCAAGAAGGCAAAATATATTTAGAAAACGATCAAGATAGTTATCTATTGATTCTGTATTGTTGATACTTGAACTTTAAGGGTTTGTGTTCACAGGCTGATTGTTAAAGACATCTAATATTGTAAGAAAGCCATAAAACAATTTCTTCATAGCAGAATAGATTATTGATAATGGAAACATGTCAAATCAATGTCAATTCTTTAGACTAGTCTTTGACGTTTGAAGTTCTTGGTACTAAGCCCCTCGTGTGTTGCCTAATGTCACTATTTCTACACAAAAACTACTTTTTATTGTGTAAAATTAAAATGTAAAGTAAACCAAATTCCATTCCGTAGAAAAATCACAAATGAAAGAGATCGAATGAAACACTTAGAACCAAGGAATAGTTTTGTTTAGTAATAATGAGCTGATATGTCGGCCATATTCATCGCTCAAGATTTCATTTATCGATTAAATCACCTAATGAGTAGGCTTCGCGCGTAGTATTTGGCGTTATTAATATCATTCATATTCATTAGAAGGTAGATTCGGACAGGTTGCAGCAAATATTAATATAACTAGAGACAGCCACCTGACTACATAAACAAGAAATGCGGGTGATTATAAATATTAGTTACTTTTAGAGAAAATCATAAACCGTATATTCATCGTCCCAACGAATCTATGTATACAGGTAAGGGATTTATTTAATTAAAATTTGAAAACACCAAGATAACAACAATCAAACGTTGTTATCACAAGCCAGTGTTTACTATTACTAAGGAAACGACAAAATCGTCAGATTTGTATGTTATAATTTGTAAGCAGTCAGATTATGATTTTGATTTCAATAGACATCAATCAGAGTGTGGTGGTACCATCGAATTATTAAATAGTTGTGGTTCAAGGAGTAATCAAGGGTCAGAAATTGAAATCCTGGTACAGGCAGCGGGGATATTGTTCAAGAAGAGAGTTTTGAAAAAATAATATATTATTTTGAGGACAATGGATTTGTTTTCATAGCGATGAAAGGGAAGCATACGAAGTAGATGTATTTGACGCCAAGTATATATTTGTGGTGGCCTGTGTCGGGGACACCTCACTATCCCCACATCTATTGTTTAAAGTCTGGGTCCACAAGGCCATGACTAATTAATTAACAAAGGGGATTTAAAGTATAGTCTGTAACAAATTTGTGACACTTGATTTAAACAATATTTATTGAAAAATATTACATGTAAAAAATACATATAATATGGATTCTTATATTAAACCATGTCCAGAATATTAATTATATACAAATTAATACATACTTATATAATATAATAAATATATAATTTGTAATAAGTAATAATAAGTGCATTGTTAGATGAAATAAATAAATTTCAATAGTGCAGAAATATTTATAATAAATACTAGTATATAATAAGTAATACGTAGTAAGCGCATATATTAACATGAGTAAATAAATACATTTTTAAAGTATAAATATTTATAAACAGTTTGATAAATACGACAATTTACTTTCCAACAAAATTCAAAATTCATAACAGTGTTGAGGTATTCAATGCTTGTCTTGGCACCAGTTCTTCTCTTCTGTGATTTTCTCATCAAGGCGGCGGTAGTTTTGTTTGTTTTTTTTGTTTGTTTTTTTTGGGGGGGGGGGGGCAAGCCTGTCCCCAGATTCAAGTTGTCTGATGATTAGTTCAATACCTTCCTATTCGGTCTTAATCAAGTCTAGGAACCTGTGCATATTTAGATGGTCCGGACCAAGCTTATTTGGTTGACATTGCCAACTTTCCAAATGATGAGTTGTGCAGTGGCGGAGTGGTTCCGGATTTCTCTGTCACCATTTTCGATTCAGAGGAGCTATATATGTCAACTGATAAGCTGTGATTAAATCGGAAGTTTATTTGTTTATATTACAAATTCATTATTACGTCAAAACAGATCACAATTTAAATTTATAAATTTATAAGTAAACTGATTTTATCAATATGCTCTTCTACTGATAGTGGAAAGCGTTCACCAGTGACACTAATTAGAGCAGGAAGCGTTCACCAGTGACACTAATTAGAGTGGGAAGTTTACACCAGTGACACTAATTAATTAGAACAGACAATAGTCCTACACCCACTGTCCAGTAACCTCCTAATCCCTCATCAAAACAATCAGATGTGGGGATAGTTAGGTTAAACCCCTGTGTCATCCTCCTGTCCCTTTAATATCCATTTAAAAAACATAACTATTTTGACACAACTCCTCGCGGTAGCCTTGCATACGCCAATGTAGTTGGGTATTTAATAATAATGTACATTTGTAGATCACTAAATCCACCCAAAAGTAGCAGGGGCGGATCCAGGAATTTTTGCAGGGGGGAGTTTGCCATTTTCCTGTTAAGGAAATCTGACAGTTGACACCGCATGATGCCATCATCGTCTCCAAATTACGTAGGCATACATACACACTGGACTTTTTAAAAGGCGAAATCCAACACCCCGTTTGACGTCAAATTTTATTATGAAAGTAATAGGTTCACATTGTGATTCAATTTAATTGATGCAAAGTATTAATTGTGATATCACATATGTCTGTATCATTATCTTGCGCTTTGAATGCCCTTCCCATCCCACCATCTGATGATAAAGGATAAAGCACACGGCCGTGACCATTTTCTCATAAAAGTGTTGCCTTACATTTTTTTTATTTAGCTGAGGCAATAGCGCAAGTAATAAATGGATAAGAGGGTTGACAATGATCCTGTCAAATAAACTCGGGAACGATAAGTAGGAATTAAGTAACAAAAATAGCAGGTATTGGGTAATAACCTTGGTGGGGGTAGGGAATACTATTTACAGCAACTGGACAATAGTTGTATTAGAGACTGCGTAGTAGTGTTGGCTGGAATATTAGGCATTAGTATTTATGAGATAATATTGTTGGTAACAAAGTAAGTGGGATTGGGTAATATTATTTATCAGAGATGGTTAAAGTGATGGTAATAGTGATGTAAGAGATTTGGCAATTGTGGTTTTAGGAATTTGGAAGGAATGGGTAAAAATAAATGTGTGTTTGTAAGATTTGTTTAAATAACCCTAGACACCCATGGGAACAGAGTGCGTGTGAATTAGGTTTAAGAATTTGGGGGAGAGGTTAAGTCTCCACATAAGCACTGACAGCAGAATTAAGTACATATAAGCATAATAAATTGTTATAAAATGATTAATATATAAAAGAATAAACGTCTATTGTATAAAAGATTAAGCCGTGATTACATTAAGCTGTTGAGGATGTAAGGTAACGACTAGGAAGTAGAAGATAAGAAGGTAAAAGATGGCAATATTTCAATCTGATTAAAATACAGATCTATATTTCGTTTCGTTTTTTATACTTTCGATAGCCTACACTACATTAATATCTGACAAGTTCTAGTGTGAGTTCACGTCCGGGGTTCAAACGAGCGGCCTTTGACCCTATGACGTCAGACATTAATTAATCAATCAGCGTTGACGTTTCCAGTGGTTTATCCACTGTTCCGTGCACCAAAAGGCTAATTCCTCACATCAATAAGAACGCCTATTATGTAACTCTTTCAGATCCTAGTGTAATAAAGACAAATAAAACGAAATTTTGAACTATAAAAACAAAACGAAATAGGATCTGTGTTTTAATCAGATCATGGCAATATTTAAAGGGACTATCCCGATTTGAACAGAGTCTCAAAATTATAAGTCCGAGTACGTATGAAAATTAAGCGCCAAAATACAGAGGAATGGTGTATTTACCTTGTCTCAAATATTCAGCTCAAAATATTGAGTCGTTTCTATATGAACGTCAAAAATGCTTATCCGGACACGTAACCCTTTTAAGATTTCGGGTCAATCTTTTCGTTGGGTTACCTGATAATCGATTGATTCCCGTTCCTTTAGAGCTGTATACAGTAAATGACCCATGTGCTGTACTTGATAACGAAAGGTAAATTTCACTTAGGTATTAGTTTTATAAAATAAAAGTCTGGTTTTATCCAGATACAGCATAATACAGCTTGGGACATCGTTCTCCATTTCCAAATGAAGTCTGACGGGTTTAAGTTGTTTGAAAACGTATCACAAATATTGAGTTAGTTGCTCGGCCCTTAGGTAGAGGATTTTAAGGGATTTTAACACAAAATTAAGCAGTTTTATTCTCCAAAAAATTATCGGGATTGGCCCTTTAACAAGTAATAAGGGGGAAATGGTTAGCAGCGCTTGGGAATCGGATCTGGAGTTAATTACGGTTAGGGAACGTTAGTGGGTGATAGGTTTAAGACTTGATTAAACTAGGCTAAGTGAATGTTAAAGATAAAAATTGCATATCGCGGTTACGATCTTCGATAATCGAGGCTCGAGATCATTACAGGAATAGAAACTATTATCCATACTAGAATACATGAAGATAGTTCATTACATAATGATTTATATCATATTAATGTCGTAACTGATCATAAATGCTCACCCATTGTAAGGGGTATCCTGTAAGAACGGAACTAGAAACTAGAGATTATTTAACAGAATGGGTAGTACTTACGTAAATATAATAGTGAGTTTGTTATTAATTGTTGTTGTTGTTAATTTTCTGTATGATCTTTTCAGATATCATCGTTTATACAGGAAATGAATGCAGTAGTAATGAAATAAACACAATACCACTAACGATTTATGAGTAACTAATAATGTTGTGAATTTATGAAAGATTTATATACAAACTGAACCTGTTGATTACCCAGTGTTTGGCTAAACATCACTCCCGTTAACCAACTGAATTAGATGCACTACTATTCAAGTACTATTCGACAGACTATAATAACATTACGATTTTACTATCAAGCTCTGTGTAAATCGAGTTTATAAAGTTATTAACCAACATGGGTTGTACAACTAGTAAATCTATAAAACTGACGTCGGAATATGTCAACCTAAGTTCCGAACAGAAGCTGAGGACATGTTATTATAGAGATTGGGGCGATTCGGTGACGGATTCTGGCGTCCATACAACCTCCACCTATTTAGAACGAAACTGTAATTCAGCCAGCAGTGTAATACGCGAGACCAGTGTCAGTGATGGTGGGAGAGTCTCGCCTGTACCTGCAGCTAAAGTTGAAAACAGCCAGGCCTGATAAATGTATTGATATAATAATCTGTAATATAATTTGGTTTGCCATTTGTTAGTTGTGTTGAAACACTGAATGAAAGGCGGGGAAATTTCAAAGTTTGTTAAATTCCCAGTGACTATCAAAAGTATGGTAATGGCATGACCGGTGAACGTTAGCAGACGGTAATATAATGGTCAGCATTTATTTCTGGTACGGTAATATCATGACTCACGAATGTATGAATGCCATGACCATTGTTATATCATGACAGATGGATATCAGCAGTATGGGAATATCATGAACGGTAAATGTCAACATATCGTAATATCATGACAAGTGAATGATTGCAGAATAGTGAGATCATGACCGCTGCAAATTTACAGTAGAATTATGTTTTAAATCTTCAAATCCTTAGAACAATTTACATAACTTGGGCAAGAATCCTTTAACATTTGAATTTGAGTTAAATTCAGATCGTCACAAGCATGATAATTGACAATTATGTCAGTATGTCTTGTTTCCATGACTACAATCTATTAACGTTCATATCATCATTGTTTTTATTCAATTATTATCTACTATTAGATTGCAACAATGTTTCCTTAAATAGCAATCGTGTATATTGTTTAACGTGATTAAGGGTGTATTATCGTATCTGCTGAAGTTGCCTGTTTACAAACGAAATGCCGCAGATGGGTAATAAAAATATCTTTGCTTTATGTTAACAAAAGGTCTGAAAAGTGTTCCTTAGATAGTAATTTGGAATCATAAAACAATAAGTAAATCATTTTGGCCTCGGATTCTCATAAATAGAAAAGAATAATCGTTCAGACTTCGAAAGACGATTTCGGTCCTTACAATTCTTTGTAATAGTGATTTTTTTTGGCAACCCGGGGGACATACTTATACATACACGGTTCCTATCGAAATTTAATTATTGGGGGAGTTATTGTCGCTGCCATTGAAATCCTGTAAATTCATCTGCACATTAGTTTTTTACGATGTTTTTTCAAACTTGCTGGGATTGTTTGAATTAGTAGGGATGGATACTATGAAAAATTAAGAGTTGTTCACAAGTTGTTAAACTTGTAATCAACCCACGGACCAGAGATTTTACAGGTTTGTTTTTACAAATTTCCTGCGATAATTTGACTAATATTCACGATGAATCTTATCTCAGGTAAACGTTCTTCGCGTTTTTTTTAAAAACTTTTCAGGTTTGTTCAACTAGCGACTAGTTATATGAATTAACTCTGTTGAAATTTAGAGTTATCTATCAATAAAATTGTTTTTGTAGCTATTATAAATTTTGTCATCAAAACCTTGTAGTTAGAGTTTTTGAAAACTTGGTGGCATTCCAGTAAAAAACTTCAAAACAACAAAATATGACATCTGTATCTACAGCCTGGACGACTAAGTTGCTTTTTGTTTCGTGGCTTGACAGTCTATTTCAATAGCTATCAGATCAATATGCTTCTTAGTAAGGAGTTTGTGTATTGAATAAAAGTCTATATTTGCCATTTTTTGTGGAATACTGAGACAATAAACCATGGCGGTAGAATTTTTACCCCGAGTTTTTAATCAGCCGTGGAAGTTATCTCGTCAGAGTGAGCACATACAGTAAATGAAATAAAATGAAATGGGGTTTAACGTCCTACTGTTCTACTCCGAGCTGTGCTAATGAAGGTGGGCATACGCCATACAGTGTGCTATGGCGAAAATTTTGCCCCGACAGCGGCACTACTCTTATATCGAATTGCAACTGTCAAGGGATCTTTTACATGCACGCCAATGTGTACACGAGACCTCGGTTTTTCGTATCATCCGAACGATAAGACAGCTGCCCTTGTCAGGCCCTCCGTTCTGCATCACTGACAAGAGGTAACCACGTCGGAAAATCTGTATGCAAGGATCGAACACCCGACCTCAAGGCTAGCGAGCCAGCGTCTTACGCACGTAGCCACCGTGACCCCCCCTCCCACATACAGTAAGGGTCTGGATAACATTCATGCTCACAAAAGTTGCCATTACAGGTGATTACACAGTTTCATTTGTATTTCTCAACCATCGATGTTTTACATGCTAGGATTTTCTTCTCGGAAAGACATCCATTAATATACTATTCAAAAAAAGTAGGGGATATTTGATTTTGGGGGCATAATACTAAAATATGCAAATGACTACGAAAAAAGTCACTATAGAACCTAACAGAAGAAACATTTCCAGTTACATGTGACGCCCAAACGCACCAATAGCTACCGCATGGAATGCAGGTGATGCTTGGGATCATCATGGGGGTCCAACCCAAGATTTGCACGACTCTGACTTTGAATGTTACAGTCATTGTGGCATTGAATTCCAGGGTGGAAACATCAGTTTAATTGTTTTAGTGACCAGAAAACAAATTTTGATATGCGTCGGCTTACCCAAAATGAAAGGTTACGTGCCCTTGGCATGCTACAGATCGGCACAACACAGGCGGTTGTGGCGCGGACGATGAATGTTTCTCAGTCTGTCATAAGCAGGCTATGGTCCAGATACCGTGATACACAATCTGTACAGGACAGACCACGCTTAGGTCGACCAAGGGCGACAACTCAAGCCCAGGATCGATTTATCCGTACCTTGGCCTTGAGAAATCGTGTCATCACAGCAAATCAGATCAGCGCTCGTCTTCAAACAGACACTGGTGTGAGAGTGAGTGGCCAGACGATTCGGAATCGACTGCATAGGGGTCACCTTCGCGCCCGACGTCCTCGCGTGATCCCTTGTTTGAGAGATCATCACATTCAGGAAAGACGTCGTTGGTGTAGGGATCGTCAACACTGGGATAATCGACGATGGAGCAATGTGATGTTTTCAGATGAGTCAAGGTTCACTGTTGATTTTTTGGACAGACGTAGGAGGGTGTGGCGTCGTCGAAACGAGCGCTTCCAAGACGTTAACGTCATCAGACATGATCGATTTGGGGGTGGTTCTGTTATGGTGTGGGGAGGCATCACTGTTGCTGGAAGAACGGCTTTACATGTTGTTGCAGGGCGTGTTACAGGCCAGTACTACCGGGACAACATCTTGGCAGTCCATGTTGTGCCGTTCGCACGACGTCATGACCGCCGTTTCATCTTCCAGGATGACAACGCAAGATGTCACAGGGCCAGGATCGTTACAGTTTACCTCCAACAACAGAACATCACCACATTACCTTGGCCAGCACTGAGTCCCGACCTCTCCCCCATCGAGCATGTCTGGGACATGCTTGGACAGAGGTTACGTCAACGTCAACAACGTCCTGCCAATGTCCAAGAACTTGCTGCTGCGTTGCAACAGGAATGGGACAATCTGGACCAAAATGACCTTAGACGTCTCATTAGGAGTATGCCACGTCGGATCAATGCTTGTTTGGCAAACAGAGGAGGATTTACCCGTTACTGACTTGGTTGTGATGCTGTGGTAACTTTGCTGTTTGACCCCGGTATCATTTTACCCTTATAATGGTCAGTCTGTGCCTTACTTAGTCTAACGATCATTTGGAATAAATCGATGAATGTGAACTTCATTTCATTTTGTCATTTGTTTCTTCGTCAGTTTCATTAGGTGACTTTAATAACACTTAAAAATCAAATATCCCCTACTTTTTTTGAATAGTATATTTTGCTAAAAGCACATCATCATTTCAGACATAAAATAAATTAGGCGGCAGTTTTCACTTCTTGTTCTATTCTTTATCAACACTATACTAGAAACATTTAATGAGATTTATACACTTTATAAGCACATTCAAAATGGCAACGTCTACGTCAAAACAACCTTATTTAAATTTGATGACATTCTTTTTTTTTTGCAGCTGCTTAGTACAGATTTTACTAAAATAATAAATTGCCCAAATTTAAATTTATTTAAAGTTTTTTCTCATCTGGGGTTCAAAAAATAAGTTCAATCCTAAACAAAAGAAACATAAAGTTAAGAAGACATTAGTTTTATGTTCCTTGGTGACAAACCTTTCTTCATGGCAGATGTTTTGTATTGGTGTTTGGAAATTCCAAACTATGTGCTTGACATTATTAGTATCTGACATACGGGTTAGTTATCACTTACACGTACGATGACCCCAAAGAAAGAAAAAAAATGTCTTTTTTGCATAATTCGGGTGAAAATGGCAATAGCACTACCAGTACATGAAGCAGAAAACATGAGAAAAATATATGGCGGCGAACTTCAGCTGTATCGAAAGCGTCAAAATGTTTACCCGGTTGCTCTGGCTCACACATCACCTCGTCACGATTTAATATATGAACTCGGGGAGAGAATTCAGAAGCTCCCGAGGAGAAAGCAAATAGTAACAGATAACGTCACTACTGTTAATTAAACACTGGTTAATATTTATGCCAGCCGTGAGCTATGTGTTCTGTGAAATTAACGATGATAATTTCAACTTATGACATTCAAACATAACACACGACACAATTATATGGAATACAAGTTATTTATGAATACCACATGTTGTTGCTGTTTATTACAAATTTAATGTTCAATATATTATGCACGATATTGTGGACACATTGATTTAAGATTATTTACACATGGTGGAGTAATAAAAAAAAGGGTAAAACATAAAAACGTTCTTATATATAAAATCAACTTTCAGGATGAACGTTATCGGGGTTTTAACTCTAATATACATCATGCCTTATCTCCGGTCATCGCATTCTGTAGCTTGGTTAATTAGGTTAGGACAAATGTTAAGTGCAGGATAAAGCACGAGACTGAGGTTATGCTGGGGAAAGAAAGACTGAAGAAAATAACCCGAGAACCGAGGTTTTTCTGCCGAGGTTTTTTCTGAAGTCTTTCTTCCCCAGCATAACCGAAGTCGATGATTTTATCTTGCTTATAAACCGTCTATGTTTACAAGATGAGAATATCCCAGAATTCCCGTAAAAAAAACCTTATATCATGTTTTCTTATGGAAAAAAACCTACCCTGGAAGAATAACCCGGTACAGGTTTAAAGAAAAAACTTTCTGAAGAATAACCCCAAATTTCTCTGTATATATACAAAGCCGCCCCGACTTTCAGACCGCAAGTATATATTTCGGGCATAGAATATACCCCAAAGATCAAAGAGATTTACCGTTACAGGTTTATAATATGTAATACAAGACCACAACCACAAATCAATTTCTAAAAGCTTCCCTTCTTTGACATAAACTAGTGACAATGGAATATCTAAACTATACAACTATTGTTCGGCAATAGGTTGCCAACTGACCAGGTGACCAGGTGCCAAAGCGAAAGTAATAAATCTACGATGCTTAACACACCAGTAACCAAATTATATAGACAATAAACAGAAACAATGTGCGCACATCTGGAACCAACTAGTATGTTATACAAGAGAAATCACTAGTTAAACTCTCATAAGTAAAATAAACAACAATCCTACAAACAAAACAATAATCTTACACAAAATAACAATATCACGACCCTCGTCTCCTGTTATACACCATATCTTGTATGAAATAAATATCTGAGTAACAAACAAGTGATCCTTTTTA